TGAAAATTACAGGCCTCTCTCATCTTTTTAAGTGGGAGAACTTGCACAATTGGTGGCTGACTAAATACTTTTTTGCCCCACTGTATACATGGATCCACAGTATTTAACTACTTTAGTTTTTCCCTCTCTCCATTAGAAATTAGAGATGTCCTTTGAAATTAGCGGGGAGGCAGAACGCAGAATTTTAGCATCCTTTGAATCACATGCTTGACTGCTGGAAATTGCACAGGCAAGCATCATTTTGACCTTTCACTACTAGTAACTTGTAGCTCTTCTATAGATGCCTCAATGATCTCTTACAGTAGGTCCTGTCCACCCACCTCATCTGGTATCTTCTCTTCCATCTTCCCTCAGACCTGTTTGCCATCAACTGTAAAGTCACTAAGTATGTAGACAACTTAGTCTTCTTGATATTTAACCTTAAGCCAACTTAATCTTTTTCACTTTTATAATGAGGTCTCCTAAATCTTCCCTTCTTTCAGCTAAAGATGTGATGCTATTTACATATCTGTGTGTTGATGTCTAGGGCTAGCAGATATCTGAACAGGCAAAGGAAGACATGCATAAATGGAAAGGACAAATGGGGAAGGACAAACTATCTGTTTCTTGACATACACAACAAATATTACGGTGAAAAGCTTCCCAAAAAAAGGTACTTAGGTCTATATGTATATGAAATTACTTTTTCCAGCAACAATAAGACTGTGTTTTCAATTGCAGGAATGTGCTAGCAGGTTAGGAGGCAAACGCCTTCATCAGCCTGTAACTAATTAAGGCCTTGTCAATTTCAGGCAGCAGTGCAAGCTGGCTGGACGGTTCTGATGAACAAGACTTGAGTACCTCACAGTTTGATGGTACCTTATTCTGCAAACAGATTTTATATACTAAACCTGCTTATAGAAGTACAAAGCCCTAAGCAGAAAGGTGATAAGGCATTGCAAAGGTTAGCTTGCTAAAAGTAACCCCAAATATATCATGGACAAGGCAGAAGCAGGCAGCAGAAAGAAACTGTGGTTAGGAAAGCTGTTAGAATGTAGTAAATATAGAATAGCTGAGGCATTAAAATGTTTGTGTAATCTTAAAAATGTTAGATATTGCTGATGATTGCAGAAGAATGTATGGGAAACTGCTAAAACAGCAGTCAGAGATCCCATATAAGGAAAGATCAAGCTGTCATCTCAGGTCTCAGCCATGCTTCATGAACTTCATGAAGTTGAAGTCCACTCATCTTAAAGTTGCTAAGGTTGAGAAACACTGTTCTAGGGGTTCAAAGTAAGAGTCTCACCCGCTTACAAAAGTGCCAGTCCCGTGCAGCCTTTAGCGCCCCTCTTCCATCTGAGACCCTCCCTGCAGAACCCTCCACCAAATATAATTATCTCTTAGTCTTTACATATATGCAGTCAACTTGACTTCCAGGAGAAAACTGAGATAGAAAATCAATCCTCTTCCAACCCTGCCACTCTTCTAATGTATTTACTGTATATGAAATCAGCAAGACAAGTCAGTAATCGAGAAGGCGGCAATAATATTTCCATCCAATCCAGCCTTATTTCATTTTAATAATCATAATGCTTTCAAATAGGCTTGCACGTGATTCGACCGCACACACCGGATCTCGGCTCGCGCTGAGCTAAGGGCTGAATCTGAGCTCTGAGAAGCCGTGAGGGAAAAAGCTACTTGCAAGCAGAAAAGTTTTTTCTATGGTGGAATTCATACTAAGGTCATCCACTCTTTTCCTCCCGCGCCGCAGATATTAACCAGAGATCAGACGGCAGCTGTTTAAAATCAATCAATCAATTATTACATTGAATTAAAATGTAATTTAAACGCAATTAACTTAAAAATCTGTAAAAAGCATTAAGAAATTGCGAGTTACAGGAGCTTGGGTGCGAGGCTTGGTTTCCAGACCGCTGTCCACAGTCCGGCGTCCTCTATTTAATCCTATACGGAGCTCTCAATTGATCCGCTATGGCAGTAGGTGTGGCTCCCTCTAACCTTTCTTATTTCCGTGGGCTACCTTCCTCGTCTACAACTTGCACCTATTGGCGGAAGTGATGTGTGCAGGTCCTCGCTATTGCCAACCGACGTCATATGCTGTTATTGAGTTTAAATAGGAATTCTTTTTAAATAATTATTTATGTTATACTGCACTTCATTTAATGGTCCGTTGCCGAGATTGACTGGATAGGAGGCATAGCTTTCCATTGGCTCTTCATCCACCTCGAAAGGATCACAACCGATCTTCCAGGACTTTCCACGAGCGTCCCATCAACCCTTGCGGCTTCCGGCTTCTCTCTCCTTTGGTGACGCCTGGCTGCGTTCTTGTGGCACTTCGCTAGTCGGTAAGTCGGGAATCCGTTGCCATCCTGGCTGGAGGGAAGTTGCAGGAAAGTTTTGCTCCTTTTCGGGGCTGCTCGGAGACTGTCTCCGTTAGTTCCCGCCGCTCTTTTCCGGCACGGGGGTAAAGGGCGGGTTTTCTTACGTTTTGAAGGCGGGTGGTTGCGAGGCTCGGTTTCTCCTGCCAGGCAGCCCTTGCAGAGGGATGTAACTGAAACAGGCAGACAAGCACAGGAGCCTGGATCCTTCCTTGCTCAGAGGCCGGAAAGCGATATTTTGGATCTGCTGTTTCAGAGGCGGCAGAAGAGTGTGAGGTTACACCGGCGGCTGCCTTATGGAGTTGAGGAGGCCCAACTGTTTATATATTTATTATTTTTCTGTTTCGCCCTACTCTAACCAGTGTTTCTCAACCTCAGCAACTTTAAGTTGTATGGATTTCAACTCCCAGAATTCTCCAGCCAGCATGCTAGCTGGGGAATTCTAGGAGTTGAAGTCCACCTCTTAAAATGGCTGAGGTTGAGAAACACTGTTCTGTAGGCGGCCTACAGCAGAAAACAAGGGTTAAAAACACAGAAGAGAGAGCAAATAGTATACATTAAATTGGTGCTAACCAGTAGAGGTAGATCCTAAAAAGACTAACATCCCCCAAATGCTTTCTCCCAGAGCCAGATTTTCATGTCTATAGAAATTCTTTAGGGAGGAACTTCCTCCTTCAGGATTGTACAATTTGGAGGTCTCCTTGGACTTACAGCTCTGCTTGAAAAGGGCCTTTGCACAAATTCACCCTTATCTAGACCAGGAGGCCTTTCAATGGCATATGTGCTGGTGTCCTTATGCATTGATTCTTGCAAGGTGTTCTGCATGGAGCTGCTACTTGAAGAACACTCCAAAGCTACAGCTCGCCCAGAATGCAGTGGCATGGGCAATTAAGGGTGTGCCATGGCATGCCCATATGACACTTCTCCTTTGTGAGCTGTGGTTGTTGGCAGTGGGCTTCTAGGTGCAATTCAAGATGGTGGTTGCTACTTATAAATCCCTTCATGGTGTAGAGCCTGGTTGTCTGAGGGACCATTTGCCTTCCATAGTTTCTGCTCATCTTGTACAATTAGAGTTAGCACACTCCAGGTTCCCTCCATAAAACTGTCATCTGATGGAATCTAGGGAGTGTGCTGCCTTTCTTGCAGCACGTCCCTTCTGGGACAACTATTTTAATATTGTATGCCAACCGCCCAGAGTTGCGTTGGAGCCAGACTGCCTTACAAATTTAATAAATGGTGTGAAATAAATGAAGTTTTGAAAAGACTAATCAGGATAAGGCCTGCTTGGGGCATAATTAGGAATCCATTGAGGTCATCTAGTCAAATCCCTTGCTCAGTACAAGATTCATTGCTGCATTTCTGACAGATGGCCCCGACCTCTGTTTGAAGATCCCAAATGAAGGAAAACTCAACACTTCATGTAGCAGCCTGTTCCACTGTTGACAGTTCATTCAGTCAGGAAATTTCTTCTAAAGTCTAGCCTTGTAGTTTTAACCCACTGATTCTGGTCTTGGCTTCTTGGGCAAGAGAAAAGAAGTAATCTCCCTCTTCTGTGCCTCCTCACTTTAGGCTGGACCTGAAAATCAAATAATCCCATAAGAAGATAATGGGAAACACTTCTGTATTGTTGCCAAAAAAAACCTATATGATGTGTCATGTCCCCAGAAGTTGAACTTGACTGTAATAACTCTGCCTTTCATTTGCCTATGCTGAAGTGAAATACAGTTCACCTAAACATTTGGAATATCATCTGCCTAATCATTTATGCTCTGACTATATTGGGAAGCAGACTCTTAGATATATGAGGTTTCTGGCCTTGTTTTTGGACAAGCGGCAGTTTGTTACTGTGATTTTTGACATTGTCCTAATTAAGGCAACTAATTATGAATTTTCTTACAATTTGGTTTTCCAAAGGAAGCTGCAATAACTTAACATTGTTCAGCTAAAATCTCCAGTAATTAGCAAAGAAGGAACAGGTAACATCATTTGAGATCAACATAAACTGTGCCTATGTTTTATAAGATTTCTTACTGGGCATAAGAGAGGGTTGGCATAATCTAGAGACTATGAGTTTTATTATTATGCAAAATTATGCATCTGCAAACTCGTCCATGCACAGAACTGTTGGTTTCAGGTGGCCTGTGGCCAAAGTGTGCTTCAGCAGTTTTCATCCATGTGCAGAGCAAAATGGATCTCTTTTGGTCCATATGAAGTAATTCAGGGTGGGGAGAATCCAAGGTCATTGGTGGCTAGAAGGAAATTCAAGGGAATGATGAAGGAATGGGGGAATACAGTGGGAAGTTTAGGAGTGGGTGGCCTGTTGGATATGTAACACTGGGAGCTATGGAGAGGAGAGATGGCACAAGGTGCCCTTTCCTTGTCCTCCTTTTCCTATCTGGATTTCATTCCAACCCTTCATTCAGTCAGCTATAAAAGAACGTAGAATTATTTGCTGATCTCCCCAATGTCTGCATATTTAGCATGAGGTGACAATGGACTCCAAGGATATATGTTTTGTGCAATTGAACGCCTCACAATTCCCAAGGGCAAGTCCAGTTGACTTCTACAATCTGGTCTCTCTCTACTGATAATGAAGGGTTGCAGGACCATTGGAAGAACAGTGGCTGGGCACTGGAAAGCAACCACAACCCTACTCATCCATGATGTGATTCATATTTTTAGAATGTTATATGTAGATTGTCTTGGTAATTTAACTTGAAACCTATTCAATACTTACAAATGAAAAATCTCAAAGTATCAGAATTGGGAAAAGTCGATCTGATCTCTGACAAAGTTTCTACTTTCCATTACTGGTGATGAGTCCACTTATAATAGATCACCCTTTGGTTTTGCTATTAGTTACTTTACATAATGGATATTTTGTATCATTTTTAAGAGTTCAGTACACTAAAGAGATATGGGAGAAGAATAGATCAGAAACTCACATTTTAAACCAGTAACCTCCCAGGATCGCATCTGGAGAGTTTTTGTACTCTTCCAGCTTTGGACACGGGAGGGATATAAGTTGCAGAAAATACCCATTCCGTTTCTGGCTATGAAACATGCTAGTGAATGGAAGATGCTCTGCAACAAGCTTATAGTTCATTTATTACCTATTGTCCATAATTCCTTACATATGTTCTTTTTTTGTAGTTACTATGCCAGCTCTTAGGCCTCTCATCAAACCTAATATTGTCAAAAAGAGGACCAAGAAGTTCATTCGTCATCAATCCGATCGCTATGTCAAAATCAAGGTATGTTCTTTTGGTGAATGTAAATCCCTAGTTAGCTTTAAAATATTCTGGTTGGTAGCTTATAATGGGACTTCAACGCTTTAAAATGGCAATCTCTGAAAACGTTTTATTGAAGTTCTTCCATTGCTTTTGAATTCTTATAGCGTAACTGGCGCAAGCCAAGAGGTATTGACAACAGAGTTCGCAGAAGATTTAAAGGCCAAATCTTGATGCCCAACATTGGTTATGGTAGCAATAAGAAGACAAAGCACATGCTGCCATCAGGATTCCGAAAATTTCTTGTCCACAATGTCAAAGAGCTGGAGGTGTTAATGATGAGCAACAAGTAAGTTGGAAAAAGTATTTTGTAATTATTCTTTAGGATCTGCCACGTTGTGTTGCTGTATGGTAAAATTAAGTCATTCTGAAATAAAGATGTAATCAACTAAACCAGACTTTTTGGTTTAAGCATCTTTTCTCGATATCTTCTTTATTATTCTCTTCCTCAGAATGTCTTGTTCTTCCTGCCTAAGATTAGTCCTTTTTCTGCTACTATTGAAAGCTTCACTACATTTACAAAATCCTTTAGTGTTGCTACAAGATAAATGATACCATAAAAGTAGATGGCTGAGAAAAATGGAAAGATTCAGTCTTTGTATCGCCATAGAGTTCATGTACATACAGCGGGCGTGACCTTATGTAAAGAATGGAAAAATACAAATGAGAACTAAAAATCCTGGACTATGACTGCATTTTACTCAGTTTTCTTCTCTAGCTCCCACTGCCATATTCCACATTATCTAGATCAGTAATCCAAGGGGCGGAGGGGGACTTTGTATTTACTCCAAACAGATCCAATCAGGCATAGTATAGGATTGACTCCACGTAGTAAGTTGTGTTGTGGGCATACTGAATCCAGGCAGTTGACCCATTTTGCATACCTAATTCTCCAGGAAAAACTAAGGAGAAAGGCTGAAAAGTAAGCTTCCCCATTACAGAGTTTGCAGCCAAGGCTTGAGTACATTAGCTGCAGTGCCCAAGTCATGCCCGCTGCTGCCTTCCCACCTAAAGGGGGCAGGATAATGATATCATAAAGCTGTACCAGTAGTATGCTCACTTGAGGACATGATTCTCCCAGGGATGAGATTAGTTTATGCTCTGCTCAGGGTAGATGGAATAAGTACTTGTTCACTATCTAGAATTTAATGAAGTCACTTTGAGGAAGATTTCCTTAGAAACAGTTTTAGCATGTTAATAAAGAGCTTGTAACATCCTCTTATGGTTGCTTTTAGGTCATACTGCGCAGAAATTGCTCATAATGTTTCATCCAAGAATCGGAAGATAATTGTGGAGAGAGCAGCACAGCTTGCTATCAAAGTTACCAATCCAAATGCCAGACTGCGCAGTGAAGAAAATGAATAGTTGGTCTTGTACAACTATATTTAATAAAGGATGCATATTGTTGGGAAATTGGCATGGCATGAATTTAATTAGGTGGTGTACCCATGAAATAAATCCTAATTTTTGAAGGAAAGCAGCTGTAGAATTAGTAAAATTGTTAATAAGCAATGCAGTCACACAAATATATGATCATAATTTGTTGTAAATATTGAAAAATAATGCATTGCCAAGCAGAGTTGGAAATCAGTGATTACCAGATGTCAGCATGAATCTGTCAAGAGAAAAATCTTCCCAGGCAAACCACCTCACCTAATTTTTTCATTGAATAAGTCCCAATAGATTGTAGGAATGCTATAGAACATATATTGATTTCCAGAAATCATTTGACAACATCCCATTACACTTGGATTAGCAAATTAGTTCAGTGTGGGATCAATGCAATTACAATTAAATGGATATATAATTGGTTTGAAAGCGCTACTACGAGCAATGGGAGAGTTATTGAGGGAAGCACTATCGGGTTCAGATCTAGGTCCTCTGCTCAACATTTTACTTTATTATTTGGATGAAGATTTGAAGGAAATTTTGATTCAATCTGCAGGTGACACAAACTTGAGTGTAGCTAAAACCCTAGAAGGCAGAAATAAAATTTAATATGTTCTTATACTTTAGAGAACTGACCTGAAAATAACTGCCAGTAAATAAATAAAATGAATATACATGAATGAAAAATTCTGCATTTAGGGAACAGAAATGAAATGTGCATATATAGCATAGGGGATATCTAGCTTGGCAATAGTAGTTGCGAGAATGAACAGAGCCGTGCATTGAGCTCAATTACCTAAATGTCCCCTGCCAATTAAGATTCTATCTTCTCAAAATAGCTTCAGAGTTTTGTTTCATTAACTTTTAAGTGTTGTGCTTAAAATCAGAGATTTTAAAATAATTTGTATAGAGTAGCAAGTTCAAGTTCATATAAAGCATATATGGAGTGTTCTTATACCTGAAGGTATTGTGAATTATGCCACTTGCATTTTGCTATAGCTCGTGTACTTGATGCAATTTCTGCCTTGGAAGCAATTAGGCTTCACTATCATTCTTTGGCTCCTGTATGTTACCATCCTTGCTTTTGTTTACTTAAGCATCTAATGAAAGGGATTAATACTGAGGAAGTTTAGAAGAGGAAACTAAAATCATACAACTTCTTAAAAATTACCCTACAGAAGCAGATAGAAAAATGACACCAGAGTACAGGTAGTCCTTGACTTAACAACCACAATTGGGATTGGAACTTCTGTCGCTAAGCAGTGCAGTCGTTAAGTGGGTTGTGCCTGATTTTACCTTTTTGCCACAGTTGTTAAGCAAATCACTGTGGTCGTTAAGTGAATCCAGCTTCCCCCACTGACTTTACTTGAGGGAAGCCCCTGGGAAGGTAGCAAATGACGATCATGTGACCCTGGGATGCTGCAACCATCATAAATACATGCCAGTTGCCAAGCACCCAAATTTTGAACATGTGACTGCGAGGATGCTGTGATGATTGTAAGTGCAAGGACCAGTCATAAGTCATTTTAAAAAGCACCATCGTAACTTTGGTCGTTAAACGAAGATTAAGGACTACCTGTACAGCTAGTCGGTTAGAGTATTAGTAATCTTAACATTTCCTTGTCTGTATCATAACAATAATCTAGAGTTTTCAAATTGGTTAATTCTCATATGTTATAATTGTCCACATAAAAGTTGGGTAGAAAATATTTTTATCAGTAACCAACCAAATACCATCACTTAGATATTTATGACTTTATTTTCTTTTGATGCATGTAAAGCAAAAGATGACACCCTGTTTTATAAATAGAGCACTTAAGTAATTCACAGATTAAGTGGAATATAACCCCTCAATGAAATGTAGTAATCAGCAATTGCAAGGCAGCAACATGATCTTTGCTGAACAGAAAAATTAAGTAGTAATATACTTGTTGAGAACACTACAGTTGTATTTTCATTTTGATAAATGAATGGTGCCAATTCATTATTACATACTTCATACCAGATGAATGGCTCTTGATAATAACATGCTAACTTTATATACTTTGAAATAATCAATGCTTTGGTATTAGCTCCTCTTTAAAAAACAGTGAATTGTAGCAATAGGGTCCATACAAGAAAAACAACATAGTGGCAGATAAACCACATTAATCAAGCATAAGGCATTCTATCTTGGAAGACAGTTGAGATACTTCTGTAATTTAATATTAATTTCAAACGAGGGAGGCAGGGCAAATCTTATATCACTATGAAAAAATCACTTAATTGTAATATTAGCACACATGAACACCAGTATTTAACTGATGTAATTGCCACACCTTAGCTAATGATTCATTTGGGGGTATGGTATGACAATTTGTCATCATTGCTTTAAGAATTCATCATGGTGTTTTCACTTTAACAATAATAGAGGGTATAGTAAATATATTTGTCAATGCTGTAAAATTAGATTGACTCTTCTTTTGGCATGATTGTGTTTTGGAACTAAGGAATAACTGATAACTGAAAAATAAGGTTGCTGTTACTTTATCATATCTGAAACCTTGCTTGTTTCAATAGAAATAGTTGTCATTTTTAAAATGACACCTGTCTCTAAAATCATTTCTAGCTTCTGCACTGGAAACACAGTGGATTGTAGGAAGCAGACAAAAAAAGTCCAAGAGTTCTAACTCAGGTCCATTAATTCTGTTGTTGATAATGAAGTGGGATCCTTTTGAATGCTTTCAAAGAGGGAAGACATTTCTGGGTTGGCTCTGATTTGGGAAGAAAATTCAGCCATTACAGGACTTTTGTCTACATCTGGGATGGTCAGTAGAGCAGCTACTGCTCTCATTGCTGAACGCTTCAGTTCATCTTGCTTCTCAAATTCCTGTTTCACAGAACCAGCCTTTACCTACCAAAAAGAAAAAGAATTTAAGAATGTGATTAGAATACTGTAATTTACCTCTAAAGACCCTCATGCAAAATTCAAATATTACCAGTCCTAATTAATCATATTGATAACCCTGTATTTGGGGACTTTTTGTGTTGTCAAGAAAAGGAAATGTGACTACATATCTTCCCTAATGTGTAGAACACTTAGGAGATGCTACATCAGTCTAAATACAGTAACCATATTTATTAAACTCTGCACTTAGAAGCTACAAGTACAAAATCAAATTCCTAATTGTTTTGCACCTATTTCTGGAAGTTACTCATAGCAATTTAAGTACCACAGTCTCTTTAGGCTGTCAGTCTTAAATACATAACTGTAGGCAGCTAACAAATTATTTTAACATCCCCCCCCCAAAAAAACCAAAAGAATCCTATAACCAAAGTTAAAATAAACCACTACAAAGGAAAAAATAATATAACAAATTCACAGAACAAGCGTGTGCATATTGGATTCCCCTAACATTCCAACCATAACAACTTTCCAGACATCTAAGAGGGTCGGGCCCCTCCCAAGCTGTTTCATAGAGCAGGTGCTGGGACTGAAAAGTTATGCCTCCTCAGTCCTGCAAGATGACACTGTTTAATAGATGGGACCTTGAGTATGTTCCATTTTATCAGATCTGGTGGAAAAGGTAGAAACCGTCAGAGATTGGTGGTCCCACAAGTAACCAAGCCCCATGCCTTGCAAGACTTTAAAGGTGATGGCCATCATCTTGAATTGCACCCAGAAGCATATTGGAAGCAGTAGTGTCACAAGGGTGAACAATTAAGCACACGAACCTTCAGGTACATTCTGGACCAACTGAAAATTCTGAGTGTTCTTCAAGAACAGCCCCACGTAGAGCACACTGCAGTAATCCAGTTGGGAAGTGATAAAGGCAAGAGTGACAGCAGAGCTCCTGGTCCAGGAACAGGCACAACTAATACACAAGATGAATCTGTACAAAGGCCACCCCTAGCCATGCTGCCACCTACTGTCCGAGTAGGAACTATGATATCAAGAGGACCCCAAGATTGAGCACCAACACTCTCTGAGGGAGTGCAACCCCCTCAAGACTTAAAGATGAAAAATCATTAGATCCAAGGGAGCCAAAAACCCAGTGACCCAGTCTTGTCAGGGTTGGATTGCAACCTGTCCTCCCCCATCCAGGCCCTTACAGCCACCAGGCCCCGGGTGAGAGCCTCAAGAGCATAGCTGGTATAGCTAGGGGTGGAGATGTATAGCTGAGTATCATCACCATATTGATGGATTTTCAGCCAGTGCTGATAAAACTGCTAGGTGAGGTCATTTAAGTAATTGTTAAATAGGAGTGGGGAGAGAGTTAAGCCTTGAAGTATCCCAGATAGGCGAGGTCCAGGGCTGGAGCTGTTCCCTCCATACCCAACACCTGAAATCAGCCTTGGGGGAAGGAGAAACACTGCAAAACAGAGCTTCCCACTCCAAGTCCCCAAAGCTGGTCAAGAAGGATACCATGGTCAATGGTACTGAAAGCTGCTGAGAGACCTGAGAGAGCAAGGATGGATGTACCACCTCATTCTGAGGCCTACAAAGGTCATTCACAATCATGACCCATACTGTCTTGGTACTACAACACAGTTTGATCTGGGGGTGGGGCTAAACTTCTGCATACAAATGCATACAGTAAGAGCTTGCATATCAACAGTGATTTTTAAATAAGTTCCATCAAAGGAAAACTGTTTAATTTTCTCTTAAAAAGTAACAGTCGGGAAAAAAAGAAGAGGGAACATCCACGTAGGTAATCGTTTTAAAGCCAAAACTATATCAGGTGTAGCTTGTTGCCCCGGCATGGTTTCCCTTTTCTGTACACTAGAACGCTTCAATCTGGCTCACCCTTCAGGAGAATAACTGAATCATCAGGGCCAAGAAAATGTTTAAAATATGCTGAACCTCAACTGACCCCAAGCAAACTATTCAACGTCCTGCTGCAGTAGGAGGCAAGCACAAATTTACACCAGTAGTTCCTAAATAACAATGGTTATGCAGTTGTATACACATAAAATAATCATCCCCCATGGCTTAGAACACAAACAATAAGGTACCCCAGAAGAGAAAGAGAAGTAGGACTATC